TTTCTTGTTTATAATAACCACGACATACTATTTGAAATGCTGTTGATGGTGATCTGATTTTATTTAGAATTTGTCTTATATGATCTTGTGCCATTGCAAATGTATCACGAAAATCGACATGAATTTTTCCATCACTTATTAATTGATTTGCAACATCAGAATTATCTGCATTTTTTTTATCAATCCAAAGTATAAACGATTTTGATGAGTTATTTATTTGTGGTATTCTTTCAATATAAGGACGAAATTGTTTTGGTGATGCTGCATGACCATGATTATTTTTATGATGTATTTCTTGAGATTTTACAACTACATTACCAATATATTCTGATCGTTCTGTTTTCCAAAATTTATTATCCTTGTAATAGTCGCTTTCGTCATCATCATCGTCATCATCATCATCAACAACTGACACATCTTTATTTATACAACTTGTGGGAGATGTAACATGGCCTAATGCATAACCGTGATGTTTAGTTTGAGTATTCTGAATGTTTGTATTTTGAATTTGTAGTTCTTTTCGATGACGAGAAACTTCCGAAATAGTTTTTATTGTATGTAAATCAGAACAATATTTTGGATTACTCATATATTGATAAGGAATGTAACCATATCCTTTATCACCCTAAAAAAAAATCAAATTATTAGTTATGACGAAAATAAAGAATTTTTTATAAGTTATCAATATAGTTTCTAACAATGAAACTTCTCTAAGTGTTAATTTGCGATCGAGCTCATAAGTAAGACTAGCAAAAGTCCGAAAGGATTCGTCCCCATACGCTGTTCTTTCGACCTCTGGCAATGGTATTTATAGAGAAGTTCAACAATGAAATTTTGTTCATAAACAGATCTCATGATCATTAGAATGTCCTAATAAAATGAACGTTTCTTTCTCAAGATATTGAATTTTCAAGGAACGATCGTATGTCAAAAGCAAAGGTCAAACAATCGAGCTTCTTGGAAACTCAATATCTTGAGAAAGAAACGTTCATTTTATTAGGACATTCAAGTGACCGTGAGACATGTTTATGAACAACATTTCATTGTTGGACTTTCCTATAAATACCATTGCCAGAGATCGAAAGAACAGCGTATTGGGACGAATCCTTTCAGATTTCTACTAGTCTTACTTATGAGTTCGATCAGCGATTAACACTTACAGAGGTTCTCTCGTAAGAGACAATGAGACACTTCTAATAGAGCTTGAGACAATTATTTTTGGTGCTTAGAGAAACAAGAGCACGCTTCTCATTTCTGAAAGTCAATGTCATCTTCCTGAAGTTCGAAATTATCACTCGACATGATTTGTCAATGCACGACTGTTATAATTTCAGATAATTGCTCTTCATAAGTAACTAACAGAACTCTTATCACTTCAAAGTACAAGTGATAAATTTATTCAATTAGAATGTAGGTGTCAAAGTAATTGAAGAAAAGATTCACACCCATCCTCATACTCTAGAAAATAGTTCTATTCATTACTTTGGGATGCTATAGAAGTTTATTCTTGTTATGATAAATTCAAAAAATGAAATGATACAACATAAAATTTATTAGAAAAACAAAATCAACTTACCCATTGTGGTCCCCATGAATTTTTAACAATGAACTGTTGTGATTGATCAATATATCCAACTGCTAGCATTGCATGTAAATCACCTTGACTGTTTTCAATTTCTTCGGGTTTTGGCATTGATACAATTCCACCATTTGTTTCAGCATCGGCAAACGATTGAAATGTTGCAAGACCAAATGCAAATGGATACCCTTGTGCTAAACATGCTTTCATTTCATATAAATCAACATTTAATTTCATGCCATTTGTTATACGATAGTTTACAGCTTCAGCATAACAATATGCCGGTGGTTGTTCATTAATTTTATTGATATCATATGGAAATTGTTCTTCTTTACAACAACCATATTCTTTTAATCCTGCGATACCAGATGTTATTGAACAACCTGAATCTTCCATATAGGCCATATTGGGTTCATCTTTTATACGACCATTATAATAAATAAATAGACGGCTAACATCAAGATCTTTTCCAGTTTTTTTCTTTATTAAAAATTCATAGGCAGCTAAAATAAAATATATATATGATATAATGATAAATATCAATAATAACAACTTACCAGCCAATGCATTACCAACACTAGAATGAAAAGATATTAATTTTTTTTTTTTAAAGTTTTATAAATATGTAAAAATGAAACATGATTGTAAGATTTTGAAGAATGTTATTTAGAAAAAAAAAACTATTCTTAAATTTATTTTAGTTAATTAAAAAAATATCATAATATACTGACCATGCAGAAGTATCCCCTTGTAATTCCACTGCCGTCATTCCTGGACTTAAATCAACTGATTCTGGTAAAGCTGTATTTGGATATTTTCGTGCAGATGAAAATTTCAGTGCAGCCGATGGTTGTAGACTACGTTTACAATCATTAATACGATGACGACTACCGGTTTGGGGATTGACTAAGTAAACTTTTTCGGCCATAATAGTTTATATACTATTTATAATCTAAAATGAGAAAAGTAGACAAAATAATAAATCCATTGGAAATATTTTTTCTGATTTTCAAGGTTGAACAAGACATTTTTTTGTTTTTCTTTTCCATAATCGATCATCATATAAAAAAAATCAAAATCAATCGATTGTAAATCTTATAATTCATCAACATAAAAAAAAAGAAAACTTAAATTTTAAAAACCAGTAGGAATTTATCATACCAATCGATTATAATGTTTTTTTTTTCTCACTAATAATCAAACCAAAAAAAAAAATCTCACGATTATGTTTCAAAATTTTTTCCTCTTTTAACAATATTTTCATTATATTTGAAGAAAAAAAACAATCAATTTTCAAATAGTTCTGTTCATAACAATAGCAATCAATATAGTACTTACCGTCGTGAATATACGAGCAATATGAAAAATCAACTTATGTTTTATTAGTATGAATAATGAGAATATTACGACTGGGAAGATTCATTTCTGACATCATGATACGTACAGGTAAGAGAAAAAGAAACGAAAAAAAAAAACAACAACAGATGAGAAGAAGAAAGATATACGTCATATAAACATGTGTATATATATGTGAAAATAAACAAGAGTGTGTGACAAAATTTGTTATCTCAAGACAGAATAAGTAAAAAAAAAAAAAAAAAAGGTAGTCATGCGAAACCTCCTTATCAACATCAATCTATTGAAATATTAGTAAACAGATAAATTAAACCTAATGTAAAGTTGGACAATATTTAGAGAAAATGAATGAAAAGAATAAGTCAAAATCTTATTTTACAACAGACAAGAGGTGATTGACAACAAAATCGATCCTTTTTGACAATTATTTGTATCATTAACTTATAAATATATTTTTTTTTTCTCTTCAACGTGATAAAGTAAATATGTAGATTTTTATCGTCTAATTAACTGTCTGGCTTCAAGGTATTTTAATTACAATTTGCTTAGAAATATCAAAAATAAAATAATTTTTGAATACCCCCGATCAATTTCGAATATAAATCCTTGAAATCTCTCTTTTTAGACATCTCAACACTATTAATATTTCATAACTTAAAGCTAATATAGACGACTTAGATACATCCATAATATCATCGTAGAATGAAAACAACTCATTTCTATTAGTTTTTAACATGCTTTAAAAAATATTCACTCGATTTGTGACAATACATCATGATATAACATTGAAAAAAAAAACAACGGTGTTAGTTTCTAGGTATCTATCACATGAGACATCTCATACAGTAGATCATTCAACTCGCCAATGTAGAAACATTAATCGAATCGATATTAAATCTTAATACGGACCAAAATTATAGATCGATTATAAAGAAAATGTTTCTTCTATGGAATATTTCGCCTCAAGAAAAAATCGAAACAAAACGATTTTGACTCGAAATTTTACTCATAAATAACTGATATGCTATTTAGATTTCACTGAAATTTTCAGCAACAACTATTGTTAGTGGGTGACGTACTTTTCGTCTCAAGTCATTCCGAACTCCGGACATGTGTCCGGATGTTCGGAAATGAATTTTTCTCCTTAAATATTTATGACTGGAGTTCGTAATAGAAAAAACGAGGAAATCGGAATGGTGCTACCGGGTGTTCGGAATAGAATGAGTTTTATTATATCTGATGTAGATATCGGAGATCGCCAGGAACAAGGTCGGATATTCGAAATGTATTCGTAAAAGAATTTACTAGAAGATCGTAACGGATATTAAGATTTTTCTTTCTGTTTTTTATAAACAAGACTGACTGTAAGACAAGCGTGTCACTTCAAAATCTCTCAAAGATGAGTAAAATCTCAACATAGTTACGAACTTCCGAACTTTCTCATTCTGATCTCCAGTCAAGATTTTGTTGTTCAACTATGAAAAATTATTTGTCAGAATTCGTCACGAACTTCTGGACAAAGTTCATTCCGAACATCCTGTCTTTTTTTCTATGTCCGGAGATCGTAATGGACTATTTCAACTGAAGTTCGTAATGAAAAGTCATTTTCCCTGTTTAGTTTTGGAAATATGGCATGTTGAAGAGAAGTCAGATTTTGTGATTGTTTTCTGCGTCTAATATCTCAACAACAAAGTATCTGTTTTTACTGAAAATTTAAGGATTATATAAATTGATCAAGGGCGAAATTCCTTTCTTTCAGATTTTTGCAAGGTCCAAGATTTTCAACTGATGGTTATACATAGCAACGATAATCATCTTTTATTATTAATAGTAAATAAGAATTCAAGATCTAATGAGCTTCTTTTACAAAGTCAACAACTTTATCATGTTTCACATTTTAATCCTCCACGTATTTTACTAATAATATTTTTACTCGTTCGTTTTATAGATTAATTTAACCAATATTTTTATTTCCTTCAATGAAATTTTATTACGACAAAAAAAAGAAAACGTTGTTATATAACAAGAAAAGAAAAAAATATTAATTTTACATTTATTTAATTGATTAATATCTTTTCGAATTAACTGCTATAGCTGCTCGTGTATTATTCGAAGTAGTATTCATTGGTAGAATACTATTCGGATTTCTTGATAAATTTAGACGAGTTTCACGATAAATTTGACCCATTCGACATATCAATCGAATACATTCATGTCGATATATATCAGCTGAAAAAAAATATAAAATAAATGCTGTAACACATGATAAATAAAAGAAAAGTTGACATATTAAATACATAAATTGAAATTTTGTTGTTGTTTTAAATGAATTTGGTAAAACTAATATTAAATATGCAATAGATAAAGGAAGTGTTAATACAATATAAGTACCAACTTGAAGAATAAGCATTCGACCAAGTTGATTTTCAGTTCGACGATAACGTACAGCTACTCTCGGAAGAAAACGTATATGTTTCATATTATATATAGTCATTCCACCAAAAAATCCCATAAGACATGGTGGAATAATAGCAAAAACCATAACTTGTGTTATTGGATAAATTTGTTTATAAATTGTATCACCTCGTATAGCACATCCAAAAGAATCATCTTTTCGAAGATCAATTAATACAAGATAATTAATATAATAAAGTCCTATTAATATAACAACAAATATTAATGCCCATCGTGTTATACGTATATTACTAAATTTTCGTCGTTGAATATTTTTTGAACTTGCACAATATCGATCAATAGATGCCAAAACAATAAAATAAGGTGATATAACTACACATACACCAGTAACATATTGAATAAATTTACATGATAGAAGTGAAATTTTAGTTAAATCTAATTGATAACCAGTAATAAGAAGACGATTAATAAGAAATGCACTTGATAAGAAAAGATTATTACCAGCAAGTGCAAGAAAATAACGTGAACATGAATGATTGTACAAAGCTGATCGCGTAAGTACGATAATATTGATTGAATTACCTATGATTCCAATGATAATGATAAAAGGAACTATAATACATATTAGTTGAATAGCAACTAGTATGAGTGAATCAGTCATGATGTTTTCAAAGATTTTTACTAAACTTTTAACAAGTAATATGCTTCAGTTTGTTCAATACTTATATACATTTATATTCATTAGTAATATGATATATACTATTTTCCAAAAATGATGACATCATTTTCTCGAAGATTAGTGTTAAGTTTCCATAATAATATCATAAAAAAAAACAAAGTAATATAAGTCATGTGGTATTTAATTTCAATCTTGAGAGAACTGTTGAATAGATATATTAGAAGTACTACTAATGTAGCAAGATTAATTTTTTTTTTATTTTTGTATATATTTACATTTAAGAAAAATAGTAGAAGATTGACTTTTATTTTTTCAAAAGATATTATATTTAATACTTGATTAAAATTACAAAATTTGATATTTATAGTTGCTTTGAAATGGAATAGATTATCAAAAATTAATATTCTTATCGTCATACTATTTCTCAAGTATAAGAAATCAGGAATTACGAGTTTGATATATTGACAGTTACACTCATCGTCCTTGATAGTACAAAAAAATAAGACCATAGAACTTCCTAAGATGAAAAAAATAAAAATATCTTAACAAATTATTAATATTTGATCTATAAACAGTTTTTGGCATATTTTTATTTTCAATTCACTTCAATATGTTTTTTTTTTATAATACTGTGCGCAAGGTTGTTTTTAGTTTAAGCGTTTGTTTGACTTTTCTGTAATTTAAGATAAAATATATGCTGATAGTGCATGATCTAATTATCTGACAACTATCAAGTTTTCAAATTCATGTCTAACAATGTAAATGTTTCAATAGTATTTTCAATCATTACATACTATAATTGTATTATTCCGAATAGGGGTCGACAAGTTCAGATCTGAGGAACTGTTCGAACAGTTCAGTTCAGCTCACGAGAACCGTTAAAAAAGCTTTGTTCTGTTTTTGGGAATAATACTTCCGGGTATAAAAAGCTTTGTTCTGTTTTTGGGAATGATACTTTCGGGTATCAAAAACCTTTGTTCTGTTTTTGGAAATACTATCTCCGAAAACAGAATAAAGGTTTTTTAACAGTTCCTCAGATCTGAACTTGTCGACCCCTAATTTCAAAAACATTCACAGAATATAGACAAGAGAAACAAGTAATTATTGTTAGAAAAAGTATCCTTTTTCCTTCTTGTATAGAAACAATGGTTATCTCTTCACCTTTTTCTTTTCTAAAAGAGAGAGACGATATTATTTTTTAAATATATACTATGGTTAAAGACAAACGTTAGAGTCTTCATCTTTTGATGTTACAATCACATCCTATATTTATTGTTTAATACTTTTCGAATAGTTTTTTTTTTATCTAAAGAGCCTTGAAATTTTACACATGGTAAAAAATAAATGTACGATTGTAGAGAATTTTAATTAGAAGGCAAGTTGAATTGCTTTTGTTCTAATTGTTATTACAACAAATTTTTGTGTAGTATCTATTCTGCTAAGAAATTATATGAAATTTATATGAATTTGATGTCTCGGGCTACAATATTAACTTTGTTTATTTTAAGATTATAATATGTTCATCTTTCAAAAGAACATATAGAAGATTAAACACCTGAAACGTTTGAAAAAATACCTTTGAAATCGGTCGATAAAAATTTTTAAGCAGAATTCTGCAAAGTTATATGCAGCATGAGAATGAAAGTGTACGTTTTCTCTTCATCTATATCTGCACTTCGACATGTGTGTCACTTTTTCTTTTCAAATATTAGATTTCAAAGAGTTCATCGAGCTTTATCTAAACATCTATAAATATCATGATTCTTTTTGCTAGAATTGCGAACAATATGTAATTTAAATGTCATCGATAATTGAAGGATAGTCAGACTTTGTTGTTCTTTTTTTTTTTTATTGCCAGACGTTTGTTATTTGCTTTTTTCTGCAATTGATTCTTATGATGAACAACAAATCAGATGTCTCATATTTTATAAATGAGTCACAAAATATATTTTCTCAATTGGCAACACTAAATATTGTGACGTTAGACGTATATAAGCTGTTATTTCCTCAATTTTATTAAATAAGAACAAAAAAAACCAAGTTTTTATTATTAATCATAAATTGCTCTCGAAGCAATAGTACTGTCAAATATATATTGTAGGCAAAATTCGAATTCGACTAGAGATCAATTCATATAATTAAAATTTGAATAGAATAATGATTTATTCAAAAATATCTTTGCATTGCTTTAAACAATTTTTAAGAGAAAAATATTCGTTGTGTATGACATTTATGCAAATAAAAGAACTCATGATTTGAAAGGAATGTTCAAGTCCCTCTGCCCTTCCCCCACAGACCGTTACAGACATTTTAATTAATTAATTAACCATTAAAGAACATTACGGACAGAGTTTAGAGGCAGCTCTAACATCCATCAAGGAGTGGGATAGGTGTTTTTCAAACAGATTAAAAAATCTCATAGCGATAGACTATCATTCAGAGATGTCCATCGCGGCTCAAAATCTGCCGCTGCCGCGCCGCGGCCAAAATCAAACAAAGCTGCCGCGCCGCTCCCGCGACGCGATGGCCTGTTAAAAAAAGCTGCCGCGCTAGTATTCGAAAAAATGTTTTGATTTTCAAGGCTTTGACTGGTTTGAAATAGAACTGATGCCGCTAATCGATCAGATTCGCTAAGTCTTACAGTATAGCATACATAAACATGCAGATTCTGTGAAAATTCATGAATTTTTGAAATTTTTTTTCTAAAAAGCTGCCGCCGCCGCGCCGCCATCGCCACGGCGGCAGCGGCAGCGGCGCGATGGACATCTCTGCTATCATTACAATATGTGAACTACTTGCTTATTACAGTTCTAAAGCACTAAGTACAGGGTTGGGAAGAAATATATTCTGAAACTATTTCTACTTGTTTATCAACAACAGTTTTATCGTATTTCATATTGTTAATCCCGCAGAGTTTGTCCTAACAGCTTTTTTTATATGAACATAGTCTTGTAGTGCTCTTGCCTTTAAATTGCATATGCAATATGGTATTGAATTTGAGTCAGACATTTTTTTTTTATTATTATATTGTGAGGATGTCATTTATCGATACAGCTGCTACGATTACAGTTTTCTCTTTGTTTATTGCCGCTCTACTTTATCTCTAGTCAAATTGTAATTTTAACGATAACATATATTCATAAGAGTTGATCATTTGAATTGATTATATCTCAATCTAAGTGGGAGTTGTTTGGCATTTGAAACAATAAGAAGTGTATGGGCGATGAATAAATTTGCTTTTATATTTTATTTTACTGATGTAATTCTCCTATCATGGATTGTTGTCACATGTCAATCTGAATATAATAATAAATTTCAATTGAAAAAATTACATATATAGATTGACTCAATGACAATACAAATATATGGAATAATATCAAATATAATAAATTTTTGTCATTCTAAAATACCAAATAACTTCAATTTCCTAACTTTGATAAAAAAAAGTCAGACAAAAAATATTTACAGATAAATCATGATTGACGTCATCTTTATTCTGATTGAAATATTGAACAGTCGTTTTTTTTATATAAATACCTGTTAATTTCCTTACATTCTATTACATTTCATTTAAAGTTCCAAGAGGCTGGTACTCATAATTGGATCATCCTAAAAAAAAAAAGATTTTTTTTTCTTCTAATCTCTAATTTCAAATGTTCATCCCTTTCAAAATAATTACATCGATGCTGGTTATCATCGTAATCATGTTTCAATTTTCAATCGTACACAATGTACAACAACATCATCATCACGGTTTTTGTAATGTTGTTGGTACAACACTTTGTGTTGAAAATCATTTATTAGGAATTGCAACAGGTGCCAATACTATTATGCGTACAGTTAAGGAAATTGAAAATCATATTGTAAGTGAAACTTTCTCTTTAAATCAATAAACTTATTTTCATATTTACAGATAACTATTGAAAAACAAAATAATGGATTCGAAGAACATATTGAAAACGTAATGAAACAAATTACTGTTCATCTACCTACGCATCATTATTCAGATAAATTTTTAAATCAGAATAATATTAATCAAGTAAATTGTATAAGTTACTTTTCATTATATTTATTTATTTATATTTTAGATTGAATTAATCCGTTTATTTCAAGAACATTATAATGCTATGATGTTCTATTATAATTCTATAGATGTTATTCTCAATCTTAATCATTTATTTCGACATAAGATTACGAATTTATTGACAATAATTCCACCAATTTTGAAAGATGATGTTATCTGTAATTACCAACTTGTTTTACGTATTTATTCAAATAATCAATTTTTTTCCTATCAAATTGATCAAAATCCATTCAAAGAAATCTCATTGGAAACAGCACCATCAGTTATGCATAATGTTTATTCAATAATTATTGCACAAGAATTAAAAAATTGGATGAATCGAACTGAAAATCTTATTAAGAATTTGAAATGGAAACTCTTTTAATGTATAGAAGAAAAAAAAACAAAATATTCGTCAATTGTTTAAGAGATTTTGATTTTCATTTCAACTGTTGATGCAAGAATTTCTGTATCTATATAATTAATCTAGATATTTTGTATGATACTCGGTTGTTTGTGAAGTACTTTTCTTTGTATCTACAATGTCATTTAGGTAATGAAATAAATGAAATGATGCACATGCGAATGAAAATATATTTCATCAAGATTTGACTAACTCAACTAAAAAACAATTAAAATAAATATCTACAGTTTCGAAGACTATTTTACAGATTTTATTTTCAAACTTTAGTTTCGAACGAACAGGCTACATATGACTAAAAGTTGATCCGGGTTTTTTTTGCAACGTATCGTTTCGGAATAGATCCAGCGCGATAGATCTCATTACGAAAGATATTTTCATGCAATTTGACTATCCTTTGGTAATATGTCATCAGAAATTTCCATTGTATATTGTTTAGCATCTTTATAATTTTACCGTCAAATGTGACCCTGTGAAATATGTTGATTGATGCCAAAG